GGGGGGGGGGGGGGGTTAAAGGGGTGTCGAACCTTAAAGTGGGCCAAAATCAACGTCTCTAGCAACAAAAATTGATTTTTGACGGCACCCCTAGATTCAGCGTTAAAAAATATGGTGAAAAAGTATCTTGCGTTTTTTCGCCATGTCTCATCGTTTTTGAGATAACACGGACTAACAGGGGATACAAGGGATAATAATAGGGGGACAATGGGGCCCCCAGAGAAAGCGGTTTTGGAAAAAAATTTATACCACCAAAACATCTTTTTTTGACCCAAGGAATCGACTCCTTCAATATTCACACTTAATCCTGGGAAATTCTGCAGAGAGAGTTGAGACAACGTGGCTTATGAAAGTCACAAACGGGAATAAAGATTACACAAGTCGGAAGTTTTTTGTAATCTTCAATCGCAACCCATTCCCGAATTCCTGTCGTCGTTCCCTCTCTCATTACATTTGTTCCCTGTCGTACTCCCTACTCCTCAGTCCATTCCAGTTTATAATATTTGCAGTTGATGGGAATTTAATGTTTGTGACACTGAGGAGGCCTAAACTACGAGAACCAATCAGAAGTGGATTCGCATTGTCTTTACCCTCAGTATAAAGGGACTCTAACCCTAGGTAGGGGACAACCAAAGTGTGCACGGGCACAAGAAGAGTAGGTGTCTGTTAAAATACTGGAATAAAGTGTTAGTACTCTAAAATTGTGGCACTATACCCCCAATTTTTTGTAAGATATGGGCACCTCCAATTGATTGTGGTGGTACCACACAATTGGGTTAGTAGCCTAATTTGTTGGGGCACTACGACAATTATCAATGGGGGTACATACTACCACTATTAATCAAAAATGTCCATATCATCCGAACACCCGTGCTCTTTTTCCACGTGAACCAGCTTCTGTCCTGAGTGTGTGCTAGACGTAGTAATATCGGCCTATGTCTTGGACATGACCGGCTTGTGTTTTTTGGCACAACTCGTAGGAAAGATGTTGATTTTGGTGACAATCCTACAGAATTTCATCTCTCGTTTTATACCGTCGCACAGCGGATCGAATCAATGAGAGAGATCGGACAAAATTTGGAAACTTTACAAGCTTATAACTTTGCTGATACAAAATATTAAGGTTTTAAAAATGGCTCCACTCGTTTTCTTGTGAAATTTTCTGCCAAGTGCATCCCTTAATACTTTAATTGTGACGAAATAAACATCAAAATTCCCAGTTTTATCAAATAAATTCATGTCCGTCATTTCTGATTGACTCGATCCACTGTGCGCCGTCCTGAGGAGCGCTGCCGAAATTCTTGGTACTGCTTCGCGCTGAAGAAAAATTTAGCTCTCTTCATCAGTCCAAAAAAGAAGCTCAAGAGTGACTCTAAGTACAAGTGGACGTGTTTATGCCAAAAGGAACTATGTTGCACGTAAACCCAATGCACATAGTTCCTTTTAGCATAAATACGTACAACTAAATGTCCATGAATAGGATCTCTGTAACATTCAGGAGTTGTATGAAATAGTTGGGAGCGGTAGTCGACGTCAAATTGATCACTACCCCAAATTGCGACGTTGCCGATTTTGTAGATCACTCCTCCACAAGACGTAAGAAAGTCTGAGGCGACTCGTAAGAACCCCTCCCCCCTCCTTCCCAGGTTAGGTTTAGGATCAGCGAACCCACAATGCAGCGCCTTCTTTTCTTCAGGTATGCAGCCCGCATCAAAATATCACGACTCACCATCAGTCAGTCAGGTTGCGGTTGCGGTGGATTAAGTTACGCAAGGAAGCTTTCAATTATCGCGTATTAAGCTCTGAAAGAGAGCAGTTTACTGTTTAAATGTGCATGAACGCATAAATTTAAAGGATTCGAAAGTCCAGTGTTACTTGTAATGGTTCAACTTCGAATTTAATCATGGTTTTTTTTCGCGGTCGTGGTACATTGCGTCAAAAAATAAAATGTATATTGCTGAAAATTATAGAAGAATTCCTCGTAACTTGAAAGCGGGTTGTGGGGTTGCGTGACGAATGCGTTACAAAAGAGCACATGAGTCAGAGCAAACGAACGATTTGCGTTATCAAGTAGATATACGGCGGAAATCTGGCATTGACGAGCTTCACTTATTGCTGCAGCGGGTCTCCTGTCTAGACGCTAGACGCATAAAAGGGGTTGCTGTTGGCCCACCCTGCCTCCCCCGTTCACCTCCCGTTTTCAACCCTCACGCGCCCCTGAACGTGGATGGTGATGCAATTGTCTAAAAAATCTAACATTTACCTGCTGTACTGAGGTGCATTCATTCATCGAAAGGGGTCACGCTATTCTACCCTTCAAAAATGCAAATAGTTAAGTTCCGGTGAGAAAGATTAAATTATTTTCTACAAGGGAGAAAACTCGATCAAGGCACACAGGCATAGTTAGAGCAATTTAAGCGGCCGCCTCAAAAAGGAACTAACGTTTTAATGTCCATTCCTCATAAGACAGCATTAACAAGAATCAAAGTATGTGTATCATACGTTGCTTGATTTTCTTTCGCGTTTTACCTACGTCCTACTTACACGAAAACTAAGCAACACTTTACCTTCACTGGAAAAAAAACACATTGGATCTAGAGTCCAGACTCTTAAAAACATCGACAAGAAAAAATACTCTTGATTCAAGCGGATTTTTGCTGAAATCAAGAACCAAGCCTCTTAATTTGAGCGGATTTCCTTTTGATTTAAGATTAAATCTGATTGAATCAAGAGTATTTTTTCTTGTCAATGTTTTCAAGAGTCCGGGCTCTAGATCCAATGTGGTTTTTTTCCGGTGTTATTGATATTGAAGAGTTTGCACTTCCAAGCAAAATTTGCTTCTATGCAGTTTCATCAGAATTTCATCAGTTTTTCAGGTTTTCATCAGAAATTTACTCATACTTTTTGAAGGGTGTAGGCGGGTCGCCTTTTGCGCCCTCCCTTAAAGCCCCAAATGCTACGCAGTTTTAGCGCCGTAACAATTCCAGCGATGTGAGAATGGCCTTGTAGCCCTCACATAGGTTTAATTCAATATTCTTTTTTTCTTTGTGCAGAATGCCCTGAATATCACGATGAACGGTTTGCATCCGAGTATGAGCGAAGGCGTCGTGAAATTTGGATGGATCAAGGGCGTTTTCATCCGGAACTTACTCAACATTTGGGGCGTCATGCTCTTCCTCCGGTTATCATGGGTCGTCGCGCAAGCCGGAATTTGTGAGTATCATTAGTGAAGAATTAATTAAAACAATTAAAATTGCCAGTTAAAAATTCGCTACTGCAATATTGCACAATTTTTCTTCGGTTGTTTGAAAAATTGACTAAACATCCCAAGGAGTAGTTTCCCCTCGTTCAGAAGCGGATTCAGCAATTTGGCAACACCGGGTTTCTTCCATTTAAACTTAGGTTAAATATTCGATTCTTTTCGAAGAACCTGGCCCCTCCAAAAATCGATACTTTTCCATGGGTTTAAATAGAGAAAAAGAACGTTGCCAATTTGCTGGATCCGCCAATATGTCCTCGTTTGAATGAAAATAACCAGGATGAAAGAATAATATGGCGACAGAAAAAAGGCGAACGATAAAAGGTGAAGGTGTTTTTGACTTAACTGTTTACCTAGCTGCTCCGAAAAATTGTCGCCTCAGCTCACCCTTCGTCGCGAAGAACACACATAAAAACAACCCGGAAAAATCCCGGGAAGGTTCCCCGTACTTTCAAGAAAATTCTCAAAAAATTTCGAGCTGTATTCTTTTTAATACACTGAAAAAAAAAACACATCGGATCTAGAGTCCAGACTCTCAAAAACATTGACAAGAAAAAATACTCTTGATTCAATCGGATTTTTGCTTGAATCAAAACGAAATCCGTTTAAATTGAGAGGCTTGGTTCTCGATTGAAGCTACTAGACTCTGATCGAATCAAGAGTACTTTTTCTTGTCGATGTTTTTAAGAGTCTGGAATCTAGATCCAATTTGTTTTTTTTCCAGTGTAGATTCAATTTGAGCGGAAATGTTAATAGGTACAATGCGCATTTTTCATTAAACCTGTTTTTACTTATTTCTTGATCAAAAACTTGTAGACATTTATTGTTTTGCGTTTATTTCTTCTTTTTACAGTCATGGGGTGTGTTTTAATTTTATCAACAACCGTGGTCACGTTGATCACTGCTCTCTCCATGTCTGCAATTAGCACGAATGGATTAATAAAAGGAGGTATGATATTAATCCCTCTACTTATATTTTTGTTCGTTTTTAACATTTCCTCATTGATCGCGACGAAAAATTCAATGGCAAAAGCTTAAAGGCTTACTCGAAGCCTTTCGACTGCCTCGTTTTCCCCCAATTTTTTACCTGTACCCATCATACTGAAATCATTCATCACAGCTGGCAACTTCAGTATACGGCGAGCGCAGCAGCGCTTTTCTGCGATTCGCCTTCATTTGGACACGTATGCAATACGCTTTCCTAGAAGTTAAAATAATGGTAGCACCTAGATTTAAGGCGCAACGTAGGCATCTTGGCTTATGTTTTTATTTTAACAGACGCTCAATATTTACTCGAGTGATCTAGAAGTCTAATCTGCGTTTACAAAGACCTCGGTGGTTTGAAGTCGCAACTGAGCAAGGTAAACTTCGCACTGCCGCGCGCCGCACAGTGGATCGAGTCAATTGAAGAGGTCGGACATGAGATTTTTGACTCAAATTGCAAATTTTGATATTTATTTCGTCACATTTTAAAACAGAGGTGCTTCATGTAGAAAATTTCACGATGAAACCAATGGAGCCTCTTTTAGAACCTCAAAATGTTCTATAAACGGAGTTATAAGCGATTAAAGTTTACAAATTTTGTTTGACCTCTCCTATTGACTCGATCCACTGTGCGCCCGCGTCCTGTGGGATCCTCGCGTGAATCTGCTACTGCACACGCTGCTTTCAACTTCCCTCTTGCTATCAAATCATACAATGTTACTTAAAATGACTCCCTATTTTGCCGTGTTAAGGAAGAGCGCGGTATGAGTCATAAGACGTTGCCAAATTTCCTTTGGCAAAGCGCAAATTTTCGGGAAAATTCGTAACTATTTTTCTACCAATGTCCCAGAGAATTTTGCTCGTAATTTGATCGAGACAGTCCGAAAATTTCAAGGAAAAATGTCCATAACCTTCTTCCAAAATGAATATTTTCTAAGAGGAAACTTGGCAACATTCGAATGTTCAGACGGCGCTTTTCCTTAGCACGGTAGTATTAGAACTCAATCAATTGAGGTGTCTTTCTCTTCTTCCTCAGGAGGCACCTATTTCATGATATCAAGATCGCTAGGTCCTGAGTTCGGGGCTTCAATTGGTCTGATATTTTCATTGGCCAATGCCGTGGCTTGCGCCATGTACACAGTAGGTTTTTGCGAGTCCGTCCAAGATGCAATGGGACATTGGGGTTTGACCATTGTGGACGGTGGCATCACGGATATGAGGATAATCGGTTCCATCACCATCATGCTTCTCCTAGGAATCGTCGTCATTGGAATGGAGTGGGAGGCCAAAGTAAGTTTGATGCATCAGTCAATTCTATCTCAATCATTCTTATATCTTTTTCAAAATTGAAAATTATTTTTGCTCACTAAGCTTCGTATCATTCTCCAGATGAAATTCGGCGAAAAAGCCCACTTATCTTCACCCTTGCTGAAGATGATTAAGCAAGAGGATCTGAGACCTATCCAAAGGGAAGGAAACTCATTTGATCGTTTGACCTGGGCAGGTCTTTCACTACTGGAGTAGACCTCCCTAGTGAAGGGATACTGCCAAGGCAGTATCACTCATAAAAGCGAATACTTTTTTAAATGTTACTACTCATTCAAATATTGGTTTAAAAGAAAAGGAGATAATAGGTTCGTCCATGATCTATATCGGATCTCTTAGTATCCATTCATTCTAGTAATTGTTTAAAGTGTCAAATGTTTTGATGTATGTTATTAAGAATAATGTTATGTAAAATTATGCTTTGAATATTTTCCACCACCTCCCTCCCTCCTCGAAGAATAATAAAAACCCCTAGGTACTCATTACATTTTGGCCCATGAATAATAAGAATTCACATACAGAGCTCCCCACAACTTTTCGTCCTTTTTACTGTCTATAGATACGTATCAGAGGGCAGGTCGAAACGGAACTTTCTGTCTCTTCTTCGACCGCAATAGCAAGAAAAAATTAAGCGAGCGGCAAATATGGGGTAAAACTCACGTGCATAACTTGCCCTCTTTGCCACTCCTAACATACCTAATGTTCTGTGCAGTTTAAGGGATGGAAATCAAAATAAGGAATCTGTTGAAGAATCTGACCCTCAATCGATAAGAATAAGTTCAACGATTTGTAGATCTTTGGAAAAAATGACAACCGTTCGGACGTCCAGCGAAACGGGTTAACCGCAAATGAAAATTTCTAGCGCTTGTAACAGCCCTCTTTACCACCCTGCTTGTAGAAATTTGACTGTTTGCGAATTCATCATGTTTGTGACTTTCCTATCCCTCTAAAATGTTCAGTCACAAATCACCATGAAAAATCGCCGGAAACTACCGCGGTGTTGCCATTGCAGGCGCATTATCGCGCTGCACTGCCTGTGCACCAGCGACGACAATGGATCATAACGGCAACACCGCGGTGGTTTCGCGGCCGGGAACGTGACCTTCCCGCGATTTCAATTCGTGATTAATGGCTAAACGTTTTGAGATAAGTCAAAACCGATACAATTTTTTATTCTGTCGATGTCATGAAGGGCGGAGTAACATACTGTTGACATTTTTGCACATTTAAAATTATTCCCATGGGACTTTCGGTTAGGGGTGGTGTGGTGGGTTCGAATTTTACTCTCATGAGTTTAACCAAATTTGAGGCTCGTTTCTTGCTATTAACCTTCTTCTACGGCATGAATTAATTTCGGATCTTACATTCTGGGGGACATAAATCTATTTTATATCTTGCATAAAACACATAGAGAACCATATTGTTTTTCAAAATTTTAAAGTTTTGTGAATCGGTTACCTTTTCATAAAATGAGAAAACTAATGAAGATTTACAAAATCATGCCACAGAAGAAAGATCCAATTTTTAAAAACTCAAAAAATACGTTATTACGAATTCGAAACAGCAGGCCACAGAGGATTAAGTGCGGTCGAAACCAAATAAAAAGTTTCGTGCTGACCCATCCGAAGAACTGACTTATGTCATGTACCTTTTCTAAGTAGGTAGGTATAAAATAATAGTAGAGAAAACCACTTAATGAGAAAAAATTTTTAGTAGATTTTTAGTCTTCAGTTTTGCATTTCAGACGCAACTTGGGCTTCTTGTGATTTTAGTTCTGGCAATTGCTGATTTTTTCATTGGTGCAATAATGGGGCCCCAATCTGATGACGATATTGCCAAGGGTTTCCTTGGTTTCAATGGTAAGTTTATTTCGTTCCACCTTCTCTCTGGGTTTTTGGGGTTTTTTTTTTATCAAGGCTATTAGTAAACTCTGATTTATATTTTTAGGATGTCAGAATCATTTAGCCTCTATCCACTTAATTTTCAAATGCTTATAGGGAGGTCCCAAGTAGCACAGATTGCAATAAATTGCAAACACATGGTAAAATTATTGCCGTTGTATCGGAGTGTTGTGCATCTCCTCTATTCACTAATTGAAGGACATCCTCCAATCGAAATTTCTTGCAGTCAAATCGAAAGAAATTAACTCAAAGTTTTTTTTGTTTTTTTTTTTTCATTGCAAATTGCCTACCTTTCTCGTGCATGTAACTATTTCATTAATCCTTTAAATCTGCATTTTCTGACTAATTAATGTCAAAAAAAGGAAATAAAAGAAGTCAATATTATAGCAGTGAATTAATTGCAAAGTTATTTCAATACTTCGGGTGCGCTTTGTTACTTGGGTAACTAGCGATATTTTTTAAGGGGCAGGATTTTTACAATATATTCCCGTTTAGCATTTTTCACCAACACTTCTTTTGAGCATATCTAATAATTTTGTAGAGCATCCTTTCTTTGCAAAATTATCTCTGAGATATTACGAATCATTTTGTTTCATCCTAAGAAATAAACTTTTGTTTTTAATATACTAAGAAATATATTTTTCCCAATTCAAACCAGAGATTCCACCAGAATTTCCTGTTCTGGCTACTCATATTGCTGCCTCAGATTTTATGTGTTTATTATCATTTCTCTTTCCATTTTTTTTCTCTTTTTTTTCACTTAAACCTTTATTTTTTATTCATTTTTAAAACTTTCCTAGAGATTATAATACTTTCAAAATTGTTAATTATTTGAATAAATAATGATTAAGTATGAAAATTTTTCTCTTTTTCTTTTTTTAGCCACTTTAGTCAAGCAAAATATGCAGCCAGATTACAGACCGCTTAATGGTGAACCACAAGATTTTTTCTCTGTTTTTGCAATATTTTTTCCTGCTGCATCAGGATTTCTAGCGGGTGCTAACATATCTGGTGATCTTCGAGTAAGTGAAAGTTTCTTTCAATTTTCAAATTGCAATTGTTGCGCTCAGGGCCGGATTAAGGGGGTGGCCACATGGGCCGCGGCCCATGGCGGCAAATCTATAGGGGGCGGAAAATTTTGCAATTTTTTTAAATGTAGGTATAAAAAAAAATTCGGATTTAGAAAAAAAAATTACAAACGAGAAAAGGCGATAAAATCTCTAATTTTCTGAGAGTATAGTAATTTCTACTTTTGTCGTCTTTCAGTGATACAAGAGGCAGCACCTTTAATTAGTCGAGTTACTGAGAAACCAAACACGCAATTTGGCCTGGAACGGCGCGACTTACCTAGAGAGAAATGATGACGAGGACTTGAGATGAAAAGGAGAAGCCCTCGGCGCGGCGATCGGCATGTAACACATATTAGCGCCTACAAGACTGCACGAATACTTCACGCATTGCATCAAACACCGTGCGGTCATTGCGGACGGCGCGGCGTGAAACGGCTAGCGCCTACAAGAATGCATGAATACCTCACGCATTGCGGCAAAAACAGTGCGATCAGCGGGAGACGCATAGCGCCTACAAGACTGCGTGAATACTTCACGCATTGCGTCAAACACAGTGCGGTCTGCGAGGCGCGGCGGCGGAAGTTAAAATCATTAATCCACATTTATGTTTGTTCTTTCATAATTTTTTCGTTCATTTCTTATGAGTGGAAGGCCTTGTCCACACAGAGATAGGTTTACGAAACTTAACTTTCGCGCCAAGTTCCGTGAACTTTCGCCAGTAGTGTTGACAGGGCTTTCCCAAAAAATGTGTTCAACACCAGTAAACGCGTTTTATGCACCCCTCCCCCCCCTGGCACGTTCATTTGTTGGTTTTCATTGATGTTTCAAAACGAATGAGAAGAGGGCGGCAAAATACAGGCGGCCCATGGGCGGCAAGTAGGTAAATCCGGCCCTGGTTGCGCTTGTCTTCTTTTCTTGAAATTCTTAAAACAGAGAATTTTATACATTATTTTGAATGGATAATTCTACTTTTAAGTCAAACTTTCAGCAATACTTTTTTTTTTTTTGTCGTCTTTCTTGTCAAGTTTCTTTTATTCAATTTTTTCTCTTCATTCTTCCTACTTTGCCCTTCTGTCCACTGAAGATATTCTTTTTTTCTTTTATAATTCTAGGACCCACAAAAAGCAATTCCAAAAGGGACAATTCTAGCCATTATTGTGACAACAGCGTCCTATATTTTAATGGCTATAATTGTGGGCATGATAGTAGCAAGGGATGCAACTGGTGTTGTTGGCTACCTAGCTGATGAAACATTCCTAGACTGCTACGGTAACTGCAAGTATGGGCTGCACAACAACTTTCAAGTGAGTTATTTTTTATTGATGGATTATTCATTTAAGTACTCATCGTCAGTACAATAGGTATGCAGTATATTCTCAAGATTGGTTTTTTGCTCCTGAAATTTGAAATCTGGAAGTTAATATGGCAATTGACAATTTAGTCGATCAAACAATTGTTTTACTTATTATCGTATTTAAATTTGCTTAATCACTACCTCAGTAGGTGAACATCATAAATAATTTGCAAAAATTATAAATATTTCAAAGCTAAATCTTTTAAAATAAATAAATAAGTTTCATGACCATTTCGTAAAGGCCGTAGGTAGATACCTATTTATAATGTCCTACCATTAGCAACAGAGTTCAAATGCACAGAGTAAGATTTCCTCCATAAGCATTCTGTTTTAATGCTTTCCAGAAAACCACATCTTTTTAGATAGAAAAGCTTCAAATTTGTCTTAATTGAAGAGGAAACAACTTTAAAAAACTTCTCACTAGCCTCGCAGTATTTAAATTTGGATATATCTGGATGAAATAAACTTTTCTATCATAAATCCTACACTTACCGGACAGGGGAAAAAATTTGGTCTCTAAGTAATTAATTAGGTTGTGATAATGCATGAAAATATTGAAAATAAATTTTCTTCAACAGAACGCTTTATTGATTGAGAATTACCTACGTTGTTAGATAGTGAGTCTTAATTTTGATAAATTTTATTTTTTTATCTGTGTAATGAAATTGGCATGTTATTTCCATGCACACCAATTTTCTTAATAAAATATTTCCTCAAATTGAATGAAATGACTCTTAGGATTTCGTTTCTTGCTTTCTTCATCCTTCAAGTTCCGAATCATTCATATAGTGTAATTATTCATTTTATAATTTTCAGGTAATGGAGCTGGTCTCCGCTTTTGGACCATTGGTTTATGCTGGTTGTTTTGCAGCAACATTATCTTCAGCCCTTGCAAGTTTGGTCTCGGCTCCGAAAGTATTCCAGGCTCTTTGCAATGATAATCTATATCCTTACATCTCCTGGTTTGGAAGAGGCTATGGCAAAAATAACGAGCCAGTTCGTGGATACATTCTGACTTTTTTCATTGCAATTGCCTTCATTCTAGTCGGTAAGAAAAATTAAACCCAACACAATTTTTCCAACATGAAAAATATAATTAAATTCTCAATAATGAAAAATAATAGAAGCCATAATTTAGTTTCGATACTGTAGTATAGAAATATTAGGATAGCTATAGTGAAAGAAATTATAACTCACCACAGCCTGTATCATTTCTTGTATTTTAAATAACTGTCCAAAGCCTCCGATTTCAACTTTTCCCTCTTCTGTATCTGCTGAGGCAAACTTGCTGCGTTTAACAATTTGTTTGACCTTTTTCAAGGTTTGCACCGACGAAAATAATTTTTTTTTCTCTCTTTGCAGGTGAATTAAATGCCATTGCACCTTTGATTTCTAATTTCTTCCTAGCGGCTTATGCTTTAATCAATTTTAGTACATTCCATGCTTCTTTAGCGAAGCCTGTTGGATGGCGGCCAACATTTAAAGTAAGTGTATGCATGTGGGTACCTTCTTAATCTTTATTTACCAATTGCAAGCTCTTGCTAATCTCAATTTTTTAAGGCATTGTACTTCTGTACAAATTGGTAAAAGGGAGAAGGTTCAGAACAATTATTAAGAAATGTTCAAAATTTTCGAAGTAATTTCAGTATCCACTGAAAGGTCTCAAGTTTTATCTCAGTAAAAGTGACTTCTTCCAACATTCCTCTGATCAATTTTTAAAATTGTTTGTTGTATGGCTGCAAGTACAGGACTGAACAAGAAAAACTGGCCTCTCTTAAATATTTCAGAAACAAATGGAAAGTTTTTCCTAAAGGTTTAGAGATATCGCAAGAAGCTGTAATTATTTCTAAAATGATTTCGTATTACTTTGGAACAAACATACCCCTTATCTAATGTCAATCAGCACTTCAGACATTACACAAGTTTTTACATGGCGTTAGCATAGTATTTTCAGGTTCTAGGCTTGAAATATTTTTCCCCCTAGCTGCAACCATTGAAGTCAAACATCACAATTAACAGTGTTCTTGTTTTAATTTCAGTATTACAATATGTGGTTGAGTCTAATCGGTGCTATTTTATGCGTAACGGTGATGTTCCTCATTAGCTGGGCTACTGCTCTCATCACATTCGCTCTAAATTTTGCTTTGTATCTCATTGTTGCCTACAGGAAACCAGGTGAGCACATTCTGATGATTAGCCATTGGTAATTTTTGTAGATTTCGAATGTTAAGCAACATTTTATGCAGTATTTTGTATGAAACCATAAAATATATTTTTAAGTAACATTAATACTATAATGAGGGTCACATACATAAATGATAAATGGGTCTCATTGAAACAAATACATTTGGGTGTGTGCGAGTTGTTCCCCATGCTTTATTTTGCATTCTTTACTTTCCTGGTGTAAGATACTTTTGAAGGGAGATGTTGAATTTTAATACATCAGAATGAAGAAGATTACTACAGAACATTTTGGCTTATATTGTGTTTGTTTGTCCCCACAGATGTTAATTGGGGTTCCAGCACACAAGCTCAAACGTACAAAAGTGCCTTATCTGCTGTGCAACAGTTGAGTCGTGTAGAGGATCATGTCAAAAACTATCGTCCCCAAATTCTCTTGCTGACAGGTTTACCCTTCTCCCGTCCTCCTTTAGTAGACTTTGCCAATCTTATAACAAAGAACTTGTCATTACTTATCTGTGGACATATTCATGACGTAAGTAGAAAACTTAATCAAGTACCTATCTTGATTTACAAATGTTCAATTGAATTTTGCTTGAAATAAATATTGAAGCTTAGTATTCTAGTATTGAACCAACCCTCTATTCATTCTAAATGGCAATTTTAGAGGAACATCATTTTCCACCACTAAAAATACTACTTGGGATTGAAATCAACATCTCCAATGTTCTTAGCAATGGCTTACACTGACAGTCCTATGAAGAAACAAAGAAGTAATGTAAAACATGATCTTGGCTTTTAGAGATTTTCCATTTTTTGTCTTTTGCATCATCATTGAATTTCTGGGGAAACTTTTCTCACAATCAGTCAGCGGTTGAAGTAATTAGTTTTGTTTCTATTTAAAATTTTAGATTAATCAGTAAAATTTCTCTCCTCTCATTAACAACCGATTATTTTCATTTTTATCAGCAACACTTGGCCCAACGCACCCGTAGCATCTTGACATCTAAAGCAATCAACTGGTTCAATATTCACCGTATCAAAGCATTCTACATCCCTGTTGATGATATGGACTTTGAAACTGGGGCAAAGTCTTTGATGCAGGCTTCAGGTCTTGGAAAACTAAAGCCAAACATTCTTATGGCAGGATATAAAGCTGACTGGAAGAAATGTAAGAAAGAGGATGCCATCATGTACTTTAATGCACTTCAGTAAGTTGATTTCCTTTGAAGTGAAATGAAACCTTATTTTTACTTAGTATTTGAAAATTTACAAAAATAATTTGAAAACAGTCTCGCACATCATATTTTCATTTCAACATTTGAAATAATTCTAAGATGTGTGGCTCTCCAAAAATAGACTTATAATGTATCGTTTACAAATTCCTCAAAGTAAAGACAGCTCTTTTCAAAAAATTACCTACAACGGCTACAACCTACAAAAAATTGAAGAAAATTCGCAATTTTTATGGAGGAACAATAAATCAATTAAAATTTGCACTTGACGTTAATATTTTACTTTAGTCCTTCATTAAAAGAATAAAATATAGAGAGATCTTAAAAATGTTTGTAAATTTAATCCAGCTATAATAAAGAAACTCCTTGTCTATCCAAGCTTTCATAACAATTTGATGACCAAATCAATGTCTCTCAATAATTGTTTCTTTTCAAAATTTTGAATGTAAAATTTTACAAACTCTGCAATAGTTTCCACAACAATTTGTCTTGTTAATCTGATCATGGTAATTTTTATTTTTAGTCCTAAAGATTATCAGCACACTTGACACCGTATAGCTAATTTTAAATCTGTTTTCTGATTTATTTTTTTCAAGTAAGGCACTGGATAATTATATGGGTGTCTGCCTGCTACGAGTCAAGAGGGGCTTAGATTATTCAAGCATCGTGTCAGAAGAGGCGATCAATGAAATTTCTGCGAACGGGGGAACAGCCAGCGTGATTCAAACACGACAAAATTCTCCAGAGTCACTGCGCCGAAACGATCAATCATTTTCACAAGTATCTCACAGTTAGTATTATTTCATTTGTAGACGTTTTCATTTTAATATGCACGGAGAAAGAGGATTTGTTTCTTTTTCAACTTTCTATAAAATTAAGAGAAACAAATGAGTCTATGAAGGAAAAAATTAAGATTATGAAATCAGTAAAACAGGTATATTTATTCCTGTCATCCGAGATTTTCTTTTATATTTACTTTTTTAATTACAATTGAGGACATTGCACCAAGAACAACCTATAACTGGAAACTGCGTTTTGAGAAAAACGCATTTAAAGTTTTGTTTTTGATGTACTGCGTAGACTTTTCTATGCAGGTACCCTGTTTTGGTGTTTTTGGGTGACCTAACCCTTCTACTGAAGGATGCCGGGTAGATTTTGCGATACATTTTGGGTTTACACTCTAATATAGTTAATTTAAAAAGCGGTTTATAGGTCGTTATTACGTCCAACAGTCATTTTGGTGGCAATATGCAGTATAAATCATTTTAATCACGCATGGTTAACGCAAAATAAAAGAATATCGATAGTGAGTATAGAGAGGGGTAACTAGCACATTATAGGCCCTTAAATTTATAGGCCCGTATTACGCCCAACAGTCATTTTGGTGGCAAAATGCGAAGTATACATTTTTGGAGGAAAGGATAGTTTGAGAGGAGAATAAATTATTTCAATAGCTCGTTTTTCTGAAATAAAAACAAATCTTTATAAAATGAGATCAAAAAATCGAGCCATCACTATCGCCGCGCCGCGCCGATGCCCGCTAACCGAGAATGATAAGGCCGCGCGTATAGGTCGTTCTTGCACCCATCGATCCAGAGGCCTGACTTGCCTCGGAAAAAAAAGGTTTTTCGACCTCGAGACGTTACCTATCTATATTCTATCGCTACCACAGCATAGTCCAGGGTACGTAGAATCCGAAAAGCAGATTGGCGTAATAACGACCTATACGCCTATAGGTTGTTCTTGGTGCGGTGTCCTCAATTGCTCATCATCATCACACCAAATATTGTGTGACTTGCCTTGTTTTTTTAAAAATGTTCTCTAAACATGTATTTGCAAAAATATAAAATAACATTTGATTGAAAAAATAAGATACATACTGTGTGGATTTTAAAATACCGCAATTAAGATAGGTATGTTTTTTCTCGCTCTCATACAACCTTTACTGCTTTTGTGTGAGTTAAAATCATGATTGATTTCTACACCTCTGCTCAATCATATGTAATAAAATTGATTCTTGATTTTTTATTTCATAACGCAGCGCACAGTGCTGATATTTCTTTTAATAGTAACATTCCAATATGTTCTTAGTTGTTTCAGACAGCAGTGAATCTGAAGAAACTCCGCCGTCTTCTCCTAGAGGAAGTAAAACACCGCGTGTCAGCAATACTCCTAATCCAGATCCAGAGAATCCAGAGAAATCAGTCAAAATTAACATGCAACCAAAAAGACAAAAAACCAATTCTGTTTCCATAACCTATAAGTAAGTAAATATTTTCGAAGATAAGGTTTTTTTTTTCCTTTCGTCTTTTGAGTTAGAGTTTTGATCTGAAAATGAGACCAAAGAGCCAGGTGAAACATCTGAAATGAATCAAGTTTTTTCAATTTACTTCACATTCCCCCTCCTCTTGTCGCAACAAAGTTTAACTCGGCGAGGGAGAGCCCCTAGGCCATAATGAAAAACGGGAGCTAAAGTTCAAGTATATGAAGACAATGGGCTCCTACACAGATAAGCACCTGCCAACAGTTAAGAGAGCATAGAAATTGGCCCTGCAGATGACAGCGAGGGATTCAGATTTACACATGATGATTTTATTGTGCCAAAGAATGAAATGCTGGGAAGTCAGAAAGCTAGAAGTGATGATTTTGAAATTTTACTCAGTTTTTTTGTTTTTGTTTTCAAAATAGTTTATGTTTTTCTTATGTAACCAACTCATAATCCTCTGTTGTCTCTTCTTTCATGTTATTTATTTGAGTTTAATTTAAAACAGCACGCTTTTCATCGTTTCTTTAGAGTGGCTGCTATTTTTTTTCTGTTCTGTCAATAACAGTAGGTTGATTTATCATCAATGTGCTATCCTTTGCTAAATCAATTATTTCCGTTCCAGGGATCATGAAGGTGCTGAATTACCAAAAGAAATACTTAATGAGTTGACACTTTTCCAAAGGAAACAGAAGAAGGGTACTATTGATGTTTGGTGGTTATACGATGACGGAGGTAAGCTCTGAATTTCAACTGATCTCAGTGTTTTACCTTTGTAATTTAAGAGAAAAATATGAAAAAAGTTGCACATCCCTTTTTAATTTTTTTTTAATTAATTTATTTTATGTGCAATTTTCCAAGAAACATATCAATTGATCCGGCTTTCACTAAAATAAAATTTTAAGTTAAAGAAACCTCTTAAACTGAAGCCTAAATGAAGGACGTTGCTAACGTTCATGAGAAAATCCACGCCTATTTTCGAACAAACTCTCCATTCTTCAGAATTATTGCTAATTATATGAACAAGTTTGTCATGCTGAGTGGCAACTTGGTCAGTTTCAATATGATAATTTTTATGAAATTAATCTGATATGTATTGAGCTGTCAATAGGGATAATGAAATTCCATGATATAACCGTAAAAAATTGTTTGCTAGAGTCTGAAGGGTTCTATCGGCAAGGTGCGAAAGGTAGACATACATGCTTATGACTAACAGGCTTCTGTCGTGATGAAATTTTGCATTTTTTGATGAGCTTCAAACTCAGCACAGGTTCAAGCACCGCTGCTGCTAGCATTTGTAAAAAATAACCATGGTCTAGAGATCTCCCCACCTTGGCCCTAGAGTAACTTTTTTAAACTCGGAGTGACTTTATCTTGTACCCAAAATATTCTTTCATTTAATCATGTAAAATCTGGATTTTTTCAGGACTGACATTGCTTCTTCCATACATCATTAGCACTCGACAACATTGGTCATCCTGCAAACTCCGTGTCTTCGCACTCGCTAACAAGAAAGACGAATTGGAATTCGAGCAACGGAAGTAAGAATTGTTGTTGTTGGCTGGTGCGAAAAGCGCTAGTGTCCGATTTTTCTAATTTTGTTAAAACTGTAATTAAAACTGTACATGCTTTCAAATGACAGCATTAAATTGTGTACAAAAAAAACTTATGACAGCAGTTGATTGTACAAAAGAGTCCCTATTTGTCTCCAGTTCCTCATTTTGTTGCAAGGAGTATTTTTTTTTAAAAAAAAGACATCGAATAGTAAATTTTTTACATAAACTGTTAAAATCTCCAAGTCACAAAGTTGTGTAGTATCTTCAAAAATCATTTTAAAAGGTTAACATGCTATAATTGCCCCATGTAAAGTTTGTAAGATGAAACTCCTGAAAATTGCAGCATAATGCAGTAAAAAATACATAGTATGACACAGCTATCAGAAATATGACTTTCTATTAATTTTAGTCTCATCTGTTTCTACTTTCAGTATGGCGAGTTTATTAGCAAAATTTCGAATTGATTATTCCGATCTGAAGATGATACCCAACATAATTAAAAAGCCTCAAGAAGAAACTCAAAACTTCTACAACTCTCTCATCAAGGACCTAATTGTATCAGATGAATGCAATCAGGAAAAAGAGAACAGACGTAAGTTTCTGGAGTAAAAGCATATAAGTGTTGAAAGTCATTTATTTTTCATCTGTAATGATTGCACATCTTTCATTACAACAATGGAATTTCATGAAATTTCAGTTTTTACAGCAGCAAAGTAGAAAGAGGCAGGCGCATTTAAGTATAAGGTTTCAATTCGTATGATCTTGAGTGGACACATATGTGCAATAGTTTAAGACTGATAGGATATGTTGGATTAGGACGTTCATATGCAAAATTAGAGGACGCTGAACTAATGAACTGAAATGAGAAGCATCATTGAGCAGAGACCACTCAAGACTCCGTCTACAGTCGGAATCAGTTAGGAAGATTTAATTCTATCGCACACAGACGTATTTTGCGTGATGCTATACACAAAACAAATCCATCTGCATTGCAACTTTCAAAAATACCCTCTATCAGTGCGTTTCAAGCCGAATCATGTTTTTACTGCTTAACCTCCACTTATGGCATTGGTTGAACATCGAATTCCATCAGCTAACCTCTTAGCGAGGGATTCTAGGATTCAATCCTGTAGCAGAGACGCACTCTAGCTTGAGAGTACGCCTCTGTTAGGAGCACCTCGGACATACAGGAGAAATTGCATGTTCCCCATCCCTTGAACGGTTATATTCGCTTTTAAATCTCCCTGTGTAGATTGGATTCTTTATGCATAAACGCAAACAAACACTCTTTGAAGATTCATATCACCTTGGCTATCAATGAGAAAACAAACAAGAAAAACCTATTTCTTACTTATTCATTCTCTATTTTCTTGTTATATTTGATTTTTTAGTTCATGAACAAACCTTTTTTCTTTTTTCTCGAGTCCTAATGTTGGATGAATGTCTACAATTTTGCCACAAAACTGTGGGTTTCCTTTCGCCCTTTGAGAGAGAGTAAAATTCATGAAAATTTTGATAGAATATAGAGTTCATATTTTTCAAGTTTTTGGACAGATATGCAGTCTAGAGAGGTAACCAGTTTCCTTTAGATTTAGATATATTGTCTCTAACTCTAAAAAGGTTGTTGTCACAAAAACGTATGATCTTTCTTAATGTTTCAGTGACTATCTCTGAATCTGAGCTTTTGGCTATGAAAGACAAGACAACGAGGCATTTACGGTTAAGAGAACTTCTGCTAGAGCAATCAATGGAATCAAATCTTATCGTAATGTAAGTGTTTACTAATTTTTCTGTAACTTTCACCTTTTTTTTGCTTTGCTGGTTACTGATACAATCGCATGATCATTTATACTCAAATAGTTTTTCCTAATACTCAGTTGCTTGTACTCCAGAATCATGTTATGATAATGGGTCGAAGTAGCTTCATGGAAGATTCACATTTGAATCATTGTTCATTCCTGGTTTTGAGGTAAAGAGAAACGATGAGTACTTACAGAATTGCTTGAAAATTTTTTGCAGGCGAGAGATTATGCTCACATTATTGTGGATGTCTAAAATGGATTTTATCTCATCTGCTCACCTATTAGCAAGATCTGCTTTTGGACAAAAGCAAAAACATGTAAATATATTTCCTTTGCCTTTGTTCTTCCTAGTTTTCATTTATCTTTATCTTTCTAGGACCCTGCCTATGCCGAGGAAAAATATTGTCTCAGCTGCTTTATACTTATCTTGGTTGGAAACTTTGACTAGCGGTATGCCACCTTTCTTGCTGGTTCGTGGAAATCAAACCTCCGTACTGACCTTCTACTCTTAGAAACAGAGATGCCCTCCTTTGATTTAGATCTACCTTCATGTTTTTTTATAAAAATTTGCATTTTAATTGTACTCAGTATAAATGTTTCTCTGAGAACGAGAAGCTATTCATTTGGTGACCTAAGAATTTAAAGAGTAAGAATAATGTGATGGCATATGCCATTTGATTGATATGTATTTTTAAGTATTTTACTAATTTATTTTTGTCAAGTGATATTATTTTTTCATTGATTTTTACCTCCCATACTTTACTGTCGATTGTTGTATCCAGAGTGAAACCCTAAGAAAATAATTTTTTGACAACTGAATGTCAATTGATGGAGATGTTCTGCTTTGCCTGTATACTTTTTGATGTTCCGATAACTCTTCACTCACTGAATTTCTCAAAAAAGTTCAATGTAATCCGTGTGAAAGAGAAAACGTTTCTGGTTCTCATACTTATGAATGTACTTATACCCTAGCAAGTCAAAGGCATCAAACATGCTTTCATTCATTGTAATTGCGTCCTCTTTCATTACTGCAACTGATCAATGTAATACTTTCACGTCTATGCCTGTAAATTAAAACTCAGCAGCTCCAAAATCTGCATAAAAAAATGTATTTATTCATTTATTTTTTATTTATTTTTTTTTTTTTTAAGAAAAATAAAAGACTTGAATTCATTTTCAGTGATTTTATTTTTATTTCATCAAAGTGAGAGTTGAGTAATTGATGATTAGTTCCACCATGGACAATAATTGAACCAGCCAATTTTGTAAGGTGAAATCTTCATTACAAAAAGATTTCTTTAAGTTCTTTCCATATATCACCCTTACAGACAGGTTGCTTTGTATTTTTCTGATTGGCACACTATACATTGTTTAGACTTATTTTCAATGAAAACCTCTTAAGTGCTTTATACTTCGATTCACTCATTATTTTAAATGAGCACAAATACCTACCAAAATTAATGTTCATCATACAAAGAATTGTAGTTCAATGAAATATAAAGTACCTATCCTTAGAAACTTGAATTGAAAGGTTCCAAGATAATAAACCACATAGAGTGTTCATGACAGCACTATAAAGAACTCCAGGTGAAAATGAGATGTGACAACCACTCAAATCACATACAAATTGCTGCCATGTTTGGAAATTTGCAGTAAGGAACAACTCTTCTGCAAAAAATCTTGTAGGTACTTACATCATTGTTAGATATATCAAATTACCTATAAATCACTCCAACTTGATCTTGAGTTTGCTCGAACAGATTCCTTCTACAGTGTGTTCCATATTTTGTGAGCAATCTTTAGAAGAAAATGTGAAGAGTTTCTCTTCATGAACATTAATTTTGGGAAGATTCTCTGGATTTAGTCATTCTACTGGACTGACAGGGTCCTCAAACCAAATAAAGTAGACTATCAGGCTGAGATTAATTTTTTTGGCAGATCTCCTGACCTGAAACATTGAGGATTGATTAGAATTAGTTGATATTCCAAAATAAGGGACTATGAGAGTGATTCTTGTTTCACATCAACTTCAAAATTTACTTTAAGTTGATTGATTTGGTTTAGTCTGCTAGCCTGCTTGTATACATATGTACACCTGGATTTTTTGTTGCAGAGAGGGTGTCCAAGTAGTGCTAACCTCTTAAGAGTGGTGAATTCTGTAAATTTTTGAGATAAAAGAAAATGTGATAGTTATTCGTCTGTTTATTGAGCTGTTTCAGAATTTTTCATTCAACAAGCTTAGGATAAACCCTCAATGTTAGTTCTGGAAAGAGTTACCATGCCGCACTGCTAAAATACGACTCAATAATCAACAATTACTTTAGGAGTACGATAAACATATAGAAATTGGACCTCTGCAGTTGCAGCAGCATACTTTTTGAATGTGTTAAATTGAAAGCATGGTAGCTTTAAAAGTTCATTAGTGTAGGTTAGAAATTGATCCTAATCTTTCTTTTGAGAAAACTATAAAAACAAGAAGGATGCTACCACTGAGAATAATGACTTGTTGTTGAGCTGATCAACGTCATTTCATTCAACACATATTCTTTCTGGGATCAAATTTTGGAGCTTTCAAGATTATATTTTCTAGTGTTGATAGGAAGAGGAATGTTCCAGCAATAACTTATGACTCTTCAATTTTAACGGAGCTCTTGTCTGATTTTCTAATTGACGCAGGGACTCATCACAAGCTGTGTAAACTCTAATGGCGAGGTAACATCAAACAACGTGGCATCATAATATCAAACAATGATTATGCCCCATTGGCAGAAAAACTACTGAGTTGTTAGAGATTCAGCTGAAAAGAAGTACTGAGGTTCTTTTTTGACTTGTTAACAGGACGTACTATTGAGGGACGACTGATGACAATCTTAAAATAATTTTTCTGGCAAGCAGAGTTGATTTTGAAAGTACATGTGAATCTAGATTCACACAGGTAGACAGGGCAGTCAAACTTCAAGAGGGGCTAAACTCCTCTCCTGTGATCGAAAATTCTTGAGAACAGTTAATTTTTAATGATATTTTGCAATTGCTCCTGGACTTCCCTTGCTTAAGAAGTAGAAAATTTTCCTTGCAAATATAATTTTGAGCCATATTGCGGTATCCCTTCATCATTGAGAACATTCTGACATTCACCCCTTTCCCCACTTCATTTAGCTTTTCTTTCTCCCCATTCATTAACACTAAAATTTTGAAGAGTTTTGGATTTCAGCCTGAGAGGCATTTCAAAACTCACTATTTCAGACTTAATTACTAACAGATCCAACTTTACTAATTGACTGGGTCAGGTTGGGTTCAGCTGTTGGTTGATAATGACCCACCTGTGTACCAATGTAAATCTAGTTTCACAAATGGTCCATTCAAGAGGTGCCGTGAATTTCAAGGCTACCGGGCTGCCTCTTGAAATGTTCTGATTGGGCTCGGATTTTGTTGAGATCGTTTGTTTGATGAACTGCACCAATTTAAAGGGGGTCACCTTTATAATTCTACGTAAATGAGCCAAGTTTTATCATAATCTAACAATATTGCAGATAATAACTTTGAATAGCTTTCTCTCGAACCTACATTTTTGCTGTAAATTTCAAACTATCTACATTTAAGGATATTTGTTGAGCTAGGATGATCCCAAAAACAAGAGTGGTGCTGATATATTCATTTTGAGATTTTGTGCAAGAAGGTATTTTATGAGCAATCTTTAAAACTAAATGGAGTGTTGTACACCTTGTACGGAGGAATAAAATTTTAATTCAATTTCTCAGTAATATGCTTTATTCGTGGTTCAATCCTCTTTGAAAACTGAATAACAATATATTACATTCACATTTCATAAAGAACGAAGATTAATGTAGATCTCCAAGATGGAGGCTAAGACTGTAGCCGGTTTCACGAGTAAACTAAACGTTCAACTCACTCTTTAGGCATGCCTCGATTTGCCTTTGTAGTGAAGTAACTGTTTCACCAAAGAATCTGATCAAAACTGCTATGATTTTCCTGATATTACTTATTTTGGTGCATTAAAAAACAAAAGCTTTGAACACATCGCACTACGCTCAGTATTGTCATTAGTTCCGAGTTGCAAAACTGTTCCTAAATTAGAAGTGAGAACAAGAATTTTTTACTTATACCATAGCAGAGATAAAATATTTTACATAATCAAATCACAGAATTTTGGTTCCATCAAGGACAGGTTTCATGCACTCATTTTCAATTTGGGTGAAATACGTAAATTCACTGTTTGTTTCTTTGATGAATTCTTTTAAAAATAGATTGCCTAATTGATTCTGATCCTAATTTTCGGCCCAAAAGATCGGTATAATTACATGATTCGTCATCCGATGATGAGCTAGAATTGCTGTCACTTGAATTGTAGGAAACAAGACCGGGTAGAATACCGATACACTTGAGGACTGGGGAAGACACTGCTGAACTTGTGTTCTTTCCTGTAAAATAAAGAAGACACAGGCACAATCAATGAAGGATCTAATTGATCAATTTTATCTCATCTCAAGAGCACATACTTATACCTACATACTACATTACTATTTGCAAATGAGTATTAAATATTCCAAGAAGGCTGCTGCCAACTTTTCTAAATTCATTTTCAATAAAAGCATAACATATGAAGATACCTGCATTTTTCTGTTTCCTATTTGATCATATATTGTTGATGAGGGAATAAAGTTAAAAAAATGGTATGAGCCACAAATATGGAAGAATGTTGTAGCTGTTTTAGACCTCTTTAATTTCAGCTGCAAACAATGGTAAAAAGTTAAAATCTTCAAGAACATGTTCCAATTGAAACATTTATTGTCAAAATACCACTGATATTCAGTGGATAGACTACCTGAAACTTTGAACATAGTTGCCCATGATGTCCCACCGTTCCAAAAGTAGTCTCATTTACCTATGTTTTTATTTTATCTCATCATATTCAGTTTTATTTACAGGTTTTTTGGTGGAGATATATGTAAATAGAGTTGTTGCATGCTGCAGGAATTCTTATTTAATACAAACTTTTACGAGTAACGCAATGATGTCAACAACTTTCTTCAAACTTAACTCCACAGCTCAATAAAAAATAAAAATAAAAAAATAGCAATAATCAAAAAGAAAGCCTGCACTTATACAAGAGTCTACCTCAACATGGAGTCTAACTCTCTATGAAGAGCCACAGCTAAATACATCCGCAGGATTGGCCGTTCTGTGGGACAACTTTCAAGTTTTAAGATGATAATTTTAGCCTAATCATGGCAACGCCCTCTCTCTGCATAGAGAATTTGACCCAATATAGGAGTGGACTGTTTTATGAGGACTGACTACCTCCTCCACTGAGACCTTAACTTAAAGAGCTTCCTTTGAGCTTGGGAGTTGATTGTAAAGAAAACCAGGGGCATCAAGTTTCTCACAAAATTTTATGGAATGCATTCAAGCTTCTGAGCAGCTGTGGCAGAGAGGGCTGATCATTGCTTTTGCTGAAAAAAAATTAGTCCTTGCAAAAAATCATAGGGTTGGCCAGAAACATTCTCACTGGAGAAGTCAGTGAAGGGGCTTCAGAGATGCAGAAAGTTTTTTTAACTTATAGTTTTTTAAGTTTTTTTAACTTATTCCTAATCACAGCCTTCAAAGTTCTTCACTATTCAAGAGTTTTCTCACTCTCACAAAGTCATCAAAAATACTAGTAGGGCGAAAAAAGTTGAAAAATCGATGCGATTTTTTAGTTTTTTCTAATTTTCCACCAAGGAAAGTGAGACAGAAAAAACAAATAAACAATAAAAAAAAAAAAAAACACACCAAAACCTCTTCAGTCAAAATATTTCCTTACAAGCTTACTCCTAGTGTAAGGTGGGGCTTGCAGGCTTGAATACTTTCTGCACCCCTGGAGGACTTCACCAAAACTTTGTCCCAAAAGTACTGAAAAACAGCAAACATACCTAGATGTATTACAGGCTTCGAATCTGAATCTGAATTCGGACTAGATTCTGTTCCTTTTGTTACTTCTCTCTCAGAAACAGATACTGAACTTGACTGAGCAGCTTCAATGGCAGATCCATTGGCTTCTAAATTATCAGTTTTCACTTTTTTCCCTCCAGCTTCTTTTGGAGGTGATTCCGCTTGCCGTTTCTTCTTAATTGCACCAGCTAATAATTTTGTTTGAGAAGTTCTATTGCTGAAAATTCAGGGACAAATTCAATTTACATTACAAAAAATTCATTTAAACAAATAAACAAGACAAAACTTGAGTTGGTCATTATCATAGACTGCAGCGCCAGAGAGACAATGAGATTATCTTAAAATTTTACCAATTTTGAGTTTCATAATTTGACTGTCTCTGATGTGCAATCAACCCATTGGTGGTGATACTAAAGCTTCATCTTAAGATCTGCGATGAAATTTTTATCCAATAATTAGGAATTTGAAGGGTCTCATTATCTACTACAGCACTTAGTTTTAGGCGCTTTTAATTATTCTCCAACACCTTTTTGCTTGCTAAATCCTCTCTGCTTCACAACATTCAATGGACCTGTTGCAAACTTTTGACAGAGCAAAAATAAGAGTTGTTCCTCATAGATAGTGTCTCAAAAATCAAGATGAGCAAATCGGCAAACTCTGAAACGCACTCCTAACTTTACAATCTGCGTAAGAAATTTGCGTTTTTTTAAGCTCCCCGCTTCAAAAAGGATACTACGGCACAGGTGAACATTTCGTTAGAGGAGTCATTACATTCAATCCCTGCTCAACATGACCGACGCTTCTGCGCGCAAGTTGAGGAGAGCACGCGGTCAATTAAGGCGGATATCTAACAACGCGAGAAAAATGTGAATGAAAACATGCCGATTGTTATCAGGAGGTTAGAATCATCGTCCCATCACATGTGTTTTGGCGGATTGGCGTCGGCTATGTTGAATATTGCGTAGTATCCTTGTGAGCAGGGGTTGGATGGAATGACTCCTGAAACAAAATGTTCACCTGTGCCATGGTATCGTTTTTGAGGCGGGAAGCTCTAAAAAAGGCAAATTTTTTATGCAAATTGTGAAGTAAGGAGAGCATTTCAGACTTTGCCGATGCGCTCATTGTGATTTTTGAGACATTTTCTATGAGTAACGTTTCTTACTTTTGCTCTAGCAAAAGTTTGCAAAAGGCCCATTGAATAATGATTAAATAACTATTTTATTTGTACATTTTTGAAAGAGTTGTAGGGTGAAAGACACTCTACCTATGATCTAGCTTTTCCAGTCACTATTTTATCAAACTAAATTTCAAAGAGCTGTCTAATCATTACAGTGTTATAATTTCGCGTTCATGGAGCTTAGTAACCTGAATCTCTTTCACAAAAGTAACCCACTTCATTTATTAGGAACGATGCGACTTTTATCAACTTACCTATTCACAGTAGGTGGATTGACTGGTTTGATTTCAGCTTGAATTCGTTGGACTACATTTTCCTCCTGGAGAGAGGCAACTTTGCTTCGAAATTCTGCCAACTCTCTTGCCTCTTCTAAAAGCTTCTTACGCTCTTCTTCTATTTTCTGACGATCTACTAAATCTAAAAACTCCACTTCATCATCATCCAGGCCTTTGATCATATTTTCTGTAACAGTTAAAATCAATGAACGCTAAGCAAAGTCACAGGGGTGTAAAAGTTCCAAAACATCATCCATTTCTACAAATATTGGCGTTTTGCCTGACACCCTAAGTAGGCGCCTGTGCACAGTACATCTCCTGCTGCTATCGTTTTGACTCCTCACAAATACATGTACCCAGTTTCCTGAATAGTTGTGGAAAATCGCTTGGCAGGCTAGTTTCAAGTTCTTTTGAACTTGTCAGAAAGTTACTGATGCTTAAATCATTCAGGTTCATGCATTTTTGCAAATCCCTGTAGTTTATGATATAAAATAATTAAAATGAATGGGCTGTGTCATTTTATCTCTTTTCAATGCTTGAAATACAGGACACAAGGAATTTGAAAAATCAGCAGTTCAGCCTATCAATCAAACAGAAAAGTCTCTTTCCTGGGCTAAGAGTTTAAAATGTTGCCACTGAGTTTGTCTATAGAGTGTTATATACTTAACAAGTTTTTCATCAGATAACTCTTACAAAAGTTTGGATAAAAAAATCGAACTGATAAGATTCGAACGATATTTGAGTATCATTCAATCACGTTTTGCATTTTGTGAGGTACATAGGGGTGAAGAGAAACTGAAGGGATGAAGTTGTCAAGAATTAGTTTGATCTTGGGAAGTCTTGGACAGCAGTTGTTGCTTCACCTTGATATTTCAGAATTGGAAATGAAAAATAATTCTTTTTTCTTTGGTGTGTCTACCCCACACAAGAGGTATCAAAATGAGCTCGCTCATAAAGTATCTCTTACGATCCTGATTCCTGACCACACAGAAGATGTGAGAAAGTAAGAAAACTAATAAAAAAAAATAGATAAATAGGTAATTACTTTACTTGACACCCCTCTCACAAATTATAAGGGATCTAACAGGATCCTCTGAGGTACAGTTATGCCAGACTAGTTCTAAATTTAGACTAGTAGTTCGCGATTAACCGACTGGCTTACACTAATCCACTTGCAAGGTCGAAATTCCAGCACTGTCTTCTGATACCACATTGGACTTAAATAGGACAAAAAGAAAATAATAGGCATTGAGCATAGTGAAAAATTGCTCTTAAGGAACAATTAAGCATATGGAAGTCAAAATCAATCATTCACTTCAAACAATTCATGGATTCAATGCATGATAGTCAGTAATGAAGGCAACCTTGGTGTCTTTCACGTTTTACTTGGAATAGTGAAAAATTCGAATTGTGGTTTTAAAACAAAGGTTGAGAAAAAATCAAATACCTAATTTCAAGTAACTACACAAATTATACAGGTCATGGTCAAGCCAACGACAACGGCCAAACCAGAGTAGAATTAAAATTCCTCAATGAGACTCACTCTGTTCTTCAGTTGGTAATATTGTCATTCCATTGATTCCTGCCATTCTTACTCACTAATTTGGCTAACTTGAGCTGTAATACAGGTAAAATTTTAGAGATCTTACTCAGTTTGTGGGCTTCTTCATACTCATAGTCTTTTTTCTGCTTCTGTTCCTGCAGTCGGTCGAACAGAGATCGGTGGTCGTACTCTTCTTCAGGAGCCTCTGCAAGAAAAATTTGAGTAAATCAATAGATCTGGTAAAATTGTCTTAAGTAAAAATGTGTGCTTAGATTTCTGGGAGTATTTAAATTTTCTGGATGCTGCTTGTGCAACACAGTAAAATTATCATTCCTTAAAAAAATAATTATTCAAAGATAATACTTGAACTAAATGTAATGTTTTTTGCTTCATCAAGATCGAATTATTCGAAAATTACCCACTGAAAATGTACTTTTTTATTTTGTCATGAGAAAAAATTTGATTCAAAGATTTATTAAGCTGCATTCAAAATATGCTTTTCTGGTGTTACCAGTGATAATTGTTACTTTCAATTAGGATTAAGTTGTATAGGAAAAAATCACACTAGTTGTTAAGGTGATTCATCAAGCTCAAGTGACGTGGTCGAACTGGCATCGAATCGGTCAAAAAACCAAAAAATTGGCAAAATACAGAGAAATGAAAGCGGAATGGTGTCTGGAAAAAAACTGGCATTTGATTCAGCTATCGATTTCTGTATCGAATATAAGGTTTTTTTCCAAACACTGTTCCGCTTTCATTTCTCTGAATTTTACCGATTTTTGGGTTTAGAATGATTCTTTAGGCTCATGCGCAGGGGCTTTCGTCCTTTTTCTTGCTAAAAATTCAAAATCTGCTGAGATTTTTTACCTGATCGATGCGATATATTGCATGCCAGTTCGACCACGTCACTTGAGCTTGACGAATCACCTTAAGATTTTACAGCTTCAACATGTTGAGTAACAAGCTCTTTTAATAGGTATTCCTTCTTGCCAGAGAATCTTTACATGGTAAAGTTTTGGAACTTCTGTCTAAAAAGATTTTAGATTATATGTCTTTAACTCTATTTTGAAAATTTTATCCGAACCTATCGGCTGATCTGCTGTGCGAACTTTCTCCCATTCTTCCTGGCGTTGTTTCTTTCTTTCTGCAATCTCATTTTCAGAAATAAATCCTGAACTCATGGTGCTTGGATGGGGTCTTCCTTTAGAGACGATCACAGGTAATAGAGCTAGTTGACCTGTGATATAGAAGACAATATTGATGAAACAAAAGGAAAAAGAAGATAAATGAAATTTTAGCATCAGATATTTCTTGCGGCAGAGAAAGCCGGAATGACTTAATTAGAAATTAACCCTTATGCAAGTCTTACAAAAACACTGCTTTGGGGGAAGGAAACTGGTTGGCACATTGTTAAGTAGCACGTTACTTTATGTGGAGGCACAATTATAGCAAAACATCAAATTTTGAGAGAGATAAATTATGACAATCAGAAGCAAACTTTCTGAACCCCTGATGCAACTAGGCAACATTTACCTTAAAAAGGAAACTCAAAGTGTTCAGGACGTTAACAGGTACCTCACATGTAGCTTGCTATCTGATGCATCTCTGTTTGCTCTCATTCATTGATGAAGCGGCCCCACTTAGTGAGCAAATTTTCTATCAGTGCCTACCAATTCATGTTGAGGGGACTTTACCTTGGTTACAAAGTAGCAGCTCTACTTGGACATGTGCTCAAAAGTTGAGCTACGCATGCACAAATATGATCGTCAACCACCGGGCTGATCATTGAAACTTTTAAGCATCATGATAAGACATTGAAATGTGATACAATGCATGGATACGTTGGGGCTATGCCTTGTCTTTATGCCCACATGAATGCAATAGTCGGGCCGCTGAACTTAGTTATGTGTACATCAACAATGAGCGCATTATAACAAGAACCAAAGATTTTTGCTCGGACAAATAAGTTGGATGATACCTACCAGCTCAACTGCAATATGACGTGATATCTGTGCACGGTTCAAATGGTGACCTCGATGATGGATCAGTTCAACTACATAGACAATTCAGGAATGTTCGAAAGAGAGTAGATAAACACCAAGTGCATAAAAAGTTAAGGTTGACATACGTACTAGAAGCAATTCAGACTCCAGTGCATCCAAGAAACAGTCAAACACAGCGAGTACGTCAAGGAATCGCTTAAAACACGGGAGATTGTCACTACTCAGTAATCACTCCATAAATTTCCAATTGTTGAATTTTATTTGTGCCATTACAGCCATATCCACATTATCACCTTTATCAAAAATTATCATTATCCTCTCATCATCTCATCTCTCATCATCATCAGCTGTCAAACCGGTGGAAAGCGGAGATGTACTTTTTACGTCACACGAATTTGCGCTCCTGATTGGTTGAAAGTGTCGCGGGAAAACCGGGACCATTTTGAAATTTAAAAAGAAGCGGGAAAGACGGTGATAAAAACTTTGTAGATCAACACAAAAAGTCGACTTATTAGTTATAGTGTTTTTCTACAACGCCCTTAGGAGCATTGGGCACGAATTGCGCTTAGGAGCATTGAGGCACCCCTAGGTGCCAAGAGGAGCCTGCAAGTACCTGAAGTACTAAAATATACTCTGCATAAGTATTTGCGAGCAAGGTACAGTCGTTTTAATGATATTTTCATTAACCCTTAAAAGCCGAGTCAACTCGACCCGGCTTTGGCTTTTAAGGGGACCCCGCTTTTTGCAAAATGCAACCCAGATGTGAGTCTGCAAATCTATCCTAAAAAAGAATTAGACATGAACCGCCTGAAAAAAAAGAAGGAAGAATCTAGTACCAAAGAGCCAAAGACAGGAGAGACGTATTCGGGCCGTTTTTTAAAACTTTTTCGCCCGAACCTAAGCGACACCTCATTGGTAGCATATAGCGGAGAATTTTAAGTTCACGCCTCGCGCCATCGCGCATTCAATTTTGCAAATGCAGCACGCATCCATCAAGCACGAATAGTTGTATCTCTGCACTCTGCGCCGTCGTCAACGCGCATCTTTTCCCTTGCTCTATTTCAATATTGTGTTGGTTTCGTTTGTTTCATTTGTGGTTTTGCGTAAGTGAGTAACACAGCAGAAGATATAGGAAAAAGAAATCCAGCCTCGTTTGGACCCCCCCCCCCCCCCCCGACTCCCATTAGCAGCATAGAGCAGAGCATTGCGAGTTCACGCTCCACTACTCACGCCATCGCGCCTTAAATTTTTTATGTGCCATATGGAAATGTATCTAGCACGAATAGTTGCATATCACGTTCAGATGTCTCTTATATTTTTGAAGTTTGAGACAAGTTAAGGTTAAGTTTGCTCACAATATGCTGTGATGTGTCCAAATCAATGGTCATTTTGAGCATTTTCGACCCCAGGAAAAACCCGATACCCGGATTATCGTTGTGCATAGTTCATATTCTTTTGTTATATTCCCTACCACTTGTTTATTTTTAATCCTCGTAGAAAAACCACCCATTTGCTAAAATACAATTCTAGCTGAAGCGCACTTCAGCTATGCATTCACCGCTGCAAAAATGTTAACAGAAATCGGAAAGGCCAGCGTGCATGAAGGCTATTTCAATTGCAATCTTCCGTCGCATTTCTAAGGCGCAATGATACAACTATTTGAACTCTCCGGAACGCGTGAGGTATCACGCCGCATTTGAAGGCGTTTTCAAAACAGCCAAGTTCCGATACCCGGATTATTGTTTTGCATAGTTCAAATTCTTTTGTTATATTCGCTACCACTCGTTTATTTTTAATCCTCGTGGAAAAACCACCCACTTGCTAAATAAAATTCTAGCCGAAGGGCACTTCAGCTAGACATTCACCATTGCAAAAATTTCAGAGGATATCGACAAGCCCATCGTGCATGGAGGCTATCTCCATTTAAATCTTCCGTCACATTCTTACGGCGCAATGCTACAACTATTTGAACTCTCCGGAATACGTGAGGTATCACGCCGTATTTGAAGGCGTTTTCAAATCACCCAAGTTCCGAGACCCGGATTATCGTTTTGCATAGTTCTTATTCTTTTGTTATATTCCCTACTACTTGTTTATTTTTAATCCTCGTAGAAAAACCACCCATTTGCTAAAATACAATTCTAGCTGAAGCGCACTTAAGCGCATTCATGACTGCAAAAATGTTAACGGAAATTGAAAAGGCCAGCGTGCATGAAGGCTATTTCAATTGCAATCTTCCGTCGCATTTCTAAGGCGCAATGATACAACTATTTGAACTCTCCGGAACGCGTGAGGTATCACGCCGCATTTGAAGGCGTTTTCAAATCAGCCAAGTTTCGATACCCGGATTATCGTTTTGCGTAGTTCATATTCTTTTGTTATCTTCCCTACCACTTGTTTATTTTTAATCCTCGTAGAAAAACCATCCATTTGCTAAAATACAATTCTTGCTGAAGCGCACTTAAGCCCCGTGGTGGGGTGTCAGGCCCCCCCAGCAAAATGACCCAGCTACGCCTATGCTCAGAATATACTTTTAAACTAATTTTAGTTGAGCTCACAAACCTTCCTATTTTTTCAGAAACTGCACTTACTTATGCGCCTAATCCTTCAAGCCCCTCATTATGTCGCTTGCCACAATGGTTGAATTTTAGATTTAGGCCCGCCTTTAAGGCACAGCACAGGTTGACATTTTTTTGAAACTTTTTTTTCTTTAGGAGGTGATCAGTTTAGATACTAGATACTTAGAAACTTTTTAAGGATTGACCAACTTGAATCTTGTAAAGCTCAAAAATAAGAGAACCCCCCCCCCCCCGGGGAGGGGTGAGAGCCCCCCCTCACGCGCCACGACTATCATCATTGGTTTTTGATTGAAGTGACGGGGATTGGTCGTCGGGTTGCACACGGCCGATGAGTATGAAAGAAGCATGGGCGTCTTGGGCTTGGAATACACGTTTTAATTGCGTCTTTTTTCCCTCGTGTTCGAACTCACCCGACCGCAACTGCTTAACTTCATGTGTGTGGCGCTCGCGTCAGTCTTCGAAAACTTGTACCCAGTGCCGAGCTAAATCTAGTACTGTCTGCCGTCTACCGTACCTCCCAGTCTCGTCGCTCAGTGTTGTGCAGCGTCTCGTAGTGAGAACAGTGATTCGATCCGAATATCCCGCATAGGATATTTTACTTTCATTTCCCAGACAAACTTCTTACTTGTATTGCATTAAATCCCAGCGTTTATCCGTTATCGATCGTCCACTGTAAAATCGGCGATTCGGAATAGTGGAATTTCCTCTTATTATCACTTGATCCACCTCTTGTGTATATTTTCAACACTTCATCTGCGGTAGATCCACTAATGGGTGTTAATAAAGACAGCAAGGTAAGGAATGCATACGAACCCTTTTCTGTGCTTTCGAATGTGATGCAATCGTAATTTATGCGCTACTTGATTGTATTTATTGTATTTTGAAATTCGCGCACTTCTTTGACAGGGTTATCGGTCAGCAGACGTTCATGCTCCGTGGCTCATCTCTGTCAGTCGTATTTTAAAAATCTCTAAAATAGATTTCGACTCAAACTTTCATTCTTAAACATTTCCAAATTGATTTCACTAGCCCTTGAGCACATTTTTTAAGAGGAGAAAGATGTGATATTATGCATATTTTTTTCCTCCCGCAGGCCCAATAAGACCGGCAATGCCGAAATAAGTTGGTAGCCTTGAGTGCCTAATTTTGCCACAAAAATCGATTCGGTGCCTTGCATGTCTTCCGCCACTTCGATTCCATTCAGTTTTCTGTTGATTTTCTCCACTCCCGAGCGCATGTGTTTACATCGAAGTTTGAGTTTTTTCAGTTTACCGTGCTTTTAGTCCGCTGATTTTATATTGTGGTGCGATACATTAGTCGGAAGTGTGTTGCTAGTCTCTGTTATATTAATCAGTTTAGCTTCGCATTGAGTCGGTGTTTTTAATTCTTTCGACAGTACGTGTTTCAATAAACTCTTCTTAGAACCACACTCTTCCACGTTGGTTTTTGGTAGTGCAGATTTTTTTCTTGAGCACCCTCTAATTTACTAACCCTTGGATTTTCAGGTGATTCATCCCTGTTTATCAGCTTCACTAATTTTATTTCACAATAAGCCCTCTCTTTCCTCTCTGTGAGTTTTCAATCCTGTATTGATTGATGTCTCCGAGAGCCCAAGTTTTTGCACAACACAAGTAACTTTATACTAACCAAAGGGTTTTATAATTTTCCTCGTCTCCCTGGATTTCGAGGATTAATATTGCAACATACTGCCTTAGCTAGTCTTAGTAATTAATAGCGATCTCGCCGCTGGAGATATGAGTGGAAGCATGGATCAGATCCACAGCAGAGCTCTTTGAGCCAATCCATGAGGCTTTTATTTACTCTGCGAGTGCTCTGAAGGATAGTTTACTTTATGTAGTAGAAGCGGTTGTGTGACCTCTTTGGAATCTTCTTAGTAGCCAGTAATAGAATATCGAGTGCTAAGGATCAGTACCGCCCAACTAACAATTTTGGCAATAATGAGTCAGCGAATTTGCCATTCTCTACAATGTATAATACGCAAGCTGATGTTTATAGTTTTTCCAATTCTCCGGAGTAGCGATGTAATGTTTGTAAAAATTGCAGATCTAACCTCAAAATTATGAAAATGGCAAAGTTCTTTTCATTTTTCAAAATTGTCAGTTTCCCGATACTCAAGCGGTAATGTTCCTTAGCCATCAATATAGGTTTCAAATCTCACATTTCAAACAGCCAGTGCTCAGATTTAGCTAAAGATACATCTCTTATCTCCGTTACAACTTCATAAATTTCCCCTTTGCTCTGACGTAAGGTTTTTCTTTCTATCAGCATTGTAATGTACTTAATACAATGGATGGCAATGAATCTCTTTACTTTTAAACCGAGTCACAAAGTGTGATCATTGTTCTCTAAAAATAGATATTTTAAGCATGAACCACTCATTTGAGGGGATTGTTGAGTGGTGACATACAATCCTAACCTGGAGCCATTTAATTAGATGCTACTTGCAATTCCCGTTTGCCGTTTGGCCGTCAGTTATAACTTACCGCTAGCGTACTCTGCCGGAGACCTCAGAATGCTGAGTTTCTCCCCACTCGTTCTTTTCAGCCAATGATCAATCCCTTGAGGCTTCTTATCCAACTTCAACTAAATACTGTGTCTGTAGGTTGTTGCTATTTCACCCAATAAAAAAAAAAAAGATGCTACTGAGTTTTCGTCCAAAAATAGAACCTTCTTCTTTTTGAATTCTTTTTCCACTTGGAATGCTATTGAACTGCTATGGACTACTGGTACTCTAGACTGTCGCGTTTCATTAAGTCTGTAGTTAAATAATGATGAAATCCTTGTATCCACAATATTAGGCCCAAGTATCTTGGTAGCAATCCTCCTGTAGATATTCATTGAAAGCCCTGCTACTTACCCTCACTTTGGTATGCTCTCATAGTAGTTTCTAATCCTATGCTTTCCACCCAATTTTACAAAGTTTAACATTTTATTTCCCACTGAATTTTTTTTCTTTAAGTTTCTTTCAGGTGGAGGATATGTTCCCTAGAGTAACACAAGATAACAAATGCATGAATTTGCTGCTGGTAATTCTCTATCTGATTTGCTTTTGCACCTTACTTCAGTCCTCCCAATGCCTAAGTGAAACCCGATTCTCTTGGTAACAATTAATCGCAACCGTCAGATTCTGGATACCTACCTTCTAATGTCTTTTATTCAGTGAAATGAGTGTTGTTCTGTATGTTGCAGATGATTATTGAGAAGAACGAAATGCTTCAAATGGCAGTAAAAATTTGCCGTGGTTATTTGCATGGACCGTGGAAGAAAATTACTACCAATGATGTCGTGATGAAGAGAGTCAGGTTAGTTCTCCTTTTTTCCTAAATTGTATCTTTACAATTAAGTATGTCACTTTAGACCAGGGTAGCAGGGGTTAAAAGGAATTTGAAAAAAAAAACAACTTAACACACTTTTTGAGCACTCTTACTGTTTAGTTTCATGTATTTATATTTTCCTTCTCCCTGTGTTGTCAATTAGGCGGCAACTTTGACCCTGGCTTGGAAAAAATGCTTAGGTTTGTCCTTAATTTCTCTCAGATCAACTATCGGTTGGTCCGACAATTTTTTTTATAGACTTTTCACTCTTTCGATTTATATTATTCTTACATCCAAGATTTTTTCATTGATAATCCTTAATTTACTTATCTTCTTTTATTGCACCTTGGACACCCTGGCGGTGAAGGTNGGGGGGGGGGGGGGGGGGGGGGGCTGTAAGGAAGGGTAAGGAGAGAAGCTAGACGAGAAGATCAGACAATTATCAAATCTTGCTAGTCAATCCAATGAAACGCAAACGTTATAATAAGAACATATGTTTATGATGCAGGTCTCATTTTAAAGATGAAAATATTTCATTAAGGAAAAACCAAACAAGAAAGTGGTTGTAAACTATGTTTCGCTATAGAAGGGCGGGGGTATGAGCCGGCGTTACGGTTCGTTTTAAGGGGGGAAGGGGTGAAAGCTAGCGTTACATAAGCTTTGCTATTGGTGGAAAAGATGGAAAATTGTAAGTAAGTTGGCACTATCTTTCGCTTGTCACCAGTCTCTACTTTTCGCTTTTGTATAGAAAACAGCTATATTTTTTATCACCAATAATTTCAACCCCCTACTTTCCTGATGCCTGACTTGAGCCTCAGTTGAAGAGAATCGGTTTTGAACCGTTATTTTAACTCTGTCATCGCTGGAAAAAAAAAATTCTCTGGGATCCAGAGTCTAGAATCTTACAAAATTTGACAAGAAATAATACTCTTGATTCAATTGAATTTTTGCTTGATTCGAGAGCCAATTCTCTGAAGTTAAGCGGATTTCTTTTTGATTCAAGCACAAATCCGATTTAATCAAGAGTATTTTTTCTTGTCAAATTTTTTAAGAGCCTGGACCGTGGAGCCAAGAGACTTTTTTCCAGTGATTCGGATGTTTCGAGCTACTATAGCTCAGTGTCATACTCGTCCGCCTATTAACTGACGAATAATCACACCTATTATTAAGTGACGAGAAATAAATATTTAATCAACAATAAGGCTCCTCGATTTGTCATCGATTCGGTAATCTGTTCGTCCACGTAACCCGCGTTCACTTACTCAACAGTTAGGTCGCATTCAAAGTTTACATTCGTCGAGATGATCCCCCGTAAATAAAGTCAACTCGCGATTTTATCTTGAACCTGGGCGAAGGGCTACCGTTCGGTCGTTTGAGGTGCAACACTCAAGTAATGCATCAACAATGATGAAGTCACCGGTGGAGTTTTCCGAAACGGACGTTGACGTTGATAAACACGGAGGTCAACGTCGCCGTGCGAACAGCCCTTCGCCCGCGTGACGTCACAGGTCAAAAAGAGGACGTAAGTGAATTAGGTACATTTTGACGTGTAAACTTACGTGGAAATCCGTGGCAAGAAAGCTCAGTCCAATTACGTGTAACCCACTTACACAGGGAAAGGGAGATTCGTATTCGTGCGATAAAGATAAAGATTCAAGTTGTTTTTAGTTTTGATAGATATTTTGTCCGTTTCTTCAGTTTTTCGTCAGTGCCTTTTCTCAGCAAGGAAACAAGTAGAGAGGAAACGCTGCTGTGCTAAGGGAAACCGCCGTATGAACCTTCAGGCGTTGCCAAATTTCCTCCACTAAAATCCGAATTTACTGGGAAAATTGTGAATAATTGTTCCCAAAATTTTCAGACAATTTTGTGCGCAGTTGAATCTAAAATATCTGAAAGTTTCAAAGAAAAATATGCATGAATTTCGTCAAAAATACATGTTTTATCACGGGAATTTCGGAAACCCTCGAATGTTCATACGGCGTTTTCCCCAGCACGGCAGAATGGGCGTCAGTGGCGTGGCTTGAATTGCGATATATCGATTTTTATGCCATTCAAACCCATTTAAAATGATCGATAAACAGGGTGCTCGCTACGAACACCTTAAAAATCGATTTTTTGCCATAGCTTCAAATAGGTAAATATCGATTTATATCGAAGCACGCCACGCCACTGATGGGCGTTTACGCCATGGTTGTTCACTCAGGGTGGCCGCAACATTTTGTATTTAAATCTGGCAGGCCGCGTTTTTAAGATGGTTCTATAGCACTTTGAAGAATGGTTTAATAGTTGATCGATCGGCCGAAATTTTTCTCAAAAATTCCCAAATTTCACGTCTCTCAGAAATCATTCTGGAATGAGCACGTTTTGAGTGATAAGTTTTTTTTTTTTCGATTTGCGATGTTTATTTGGAACATACTTCTGAAGTTATTTAAAAATTTCCAAGTCGAATCATACTCTATTATATAAAATCATAAGAGAAAGACTCAACGTGTAATGCCTAAGTTTTATGAAGGCAAGCAGAAAAGAAAAACGAGGCAAAAATTCAAGAGGCCAGTCTTCTGCGACGTCTAAGGTGTCAATTTCTTTCTGGCGGTAGATTCCTTGAAGAAACTTAGTTTTGAATAATTTGAATCGTAGCTCCAGTTGATGCTTCCACCGGTCGAGTGTGGAAGAATTCGTCTCTCTTGGTTTTATCGTGGAGTCTTCCTGCAAGCCCGGGCCCCTAATTTAATATTCATCTCAAAATAGCATTACTCAACCTCTTCTTTTTTGTGTGCTGTTGAGCACGTGAACAAGAAGTGATCTCCTAGTTTGCGATATCATTTATATGCAGATGTCATTGTTGCTCCCTATCAAATCAGTCCTCGTCATTCTAAATACTGCAGACTAATTGTTCTGCTACTTTGACCTTACCTCTGCCGTATAATTCGTGTAATTTTTTCCTCTTTACCGGCAAATATTTTAACCAATGTGTGGCAATCAGCTCGTATGTATAGATTCATGCACAAGGGGCTTTCATAATTCATACTCTCCCTCCGAAGTCTGAAATCCATCGATTTTCTCAAAAAGCGGCAGCCATCAATTTTTGCGCGCCCCCCCCCCCTCCCCCATCTCTCAACTGCAATCAAGCTGAGTGAAATACGGAGTTTATTTCTCTCCCTACCAATTTCACTCCCAAATACCCAATTTACATGAATGAGGAACGGAATTCCCTCTTACAAAGCGGGGCCAACTCCCCATGCAGTGGCGTGGCGTGAATTGCGATGTATCGAGTGTTCTGCCATTTGAACCTATGGTAAAGAATCGATTATTAAGGTGTTCGCAGCGAACACCCTGTTCATCGATTCTTTACCATAGGTTCAAATGGCAGAACACTCGATACATCGCAATTCACGCCACGCCACTGCAAGGGTTCAGTCCGTTGCGTCCTCTCATCAGTCTGGTTGTTTAAAGGCAGCTCGGGTTCGGAAGTGAAAATTTTCAATGAAGAGAATCAGTAATCATCGTAAACCTAACTTCCGTTAATATCGCTTAAATAATAATATTTATTACGGTCCGGAGTACATTTCAAAGGTAAACCAATAAAACTTAATGAGAATTTTTACTCAAAGGGGTGAATCTCTGAAAGTTGACTTTTTGATCCGGGCAATGAGGTTTCTGCCATTCGGACTTTGAATCTTGGGAAATCGAAACAAACGACGCTGGTGGCGCTCCGGTGGGGGGCTCCACAATAGCGATACCCATCAGATCACCATCAAAGATGCAAAATTTCCTTAAACTTAAGAAAATGAAGTTTCATTGCATTTTTCACACCTTATACAATGGACCCAGTATGCCATGGAACAGTAAATTCCTAATTTTGAAACATAAAAGATAGATGAAAAAACAAATAAGTAAATAAATTATCATGAATCAAAAATCGATGTGTGTCAACGCGAAAGTGCGCAGCCCCTGAAAAATCGTTGAAATTTCATAGAAACTGAAATTGAATGCACTGGAAAAGAAACACATTAGATCTAGAGTCCAGACTCTTGAAAACATTGACAAGAAAAAAACTCTTGATTCAATCGGATTTTTGCTTGAATCAAAACGAAATCCGCTTAAATCAAGAGGCTTGGCTCTTGATTTAAGCTAGATTCTGATTGAATCAAGGGTACTTTTTCTTGTCGATGGTTTTAAGAGTCTGGACTTTAGTTCCAATGTGTTTTTTTTTCTAGTGTGTGAAAAATTACAATGAAATTGCATGTGAAACTTTCCGAAATTTCACAAGTCAAATTTTAACGTTTTTTAACGCATTCGTGGATAATTGTCGCGAGTTTCAGACGCAGCCCCCAGAAAATCGTCGAAATTTCATGAGAAATGATATTGCACGTGAAATTCATTACACGGAAAAAAAAAAATTGCTGATTCAACAATTCAATTGCTAGAAACAGTGAGTGCAATGTTTCAACGCAGATTTTACAACAAAAAAATGCTCCTTTAAACACCCCCGTGGTTAAATTAGTTTACAATGTGGTTAAAGTAGCAATTTTTTTTGTTGTAAAATCTGAGTTGAAACATTGCACTCACTGTTTTCAGCAATTGAATTGTTGAATCAGCAATTTTTTCCGTGTAAATATCATTTTCCATCTTAGGGTGATTCATCATAGGATGGGTCTCGCGGCGTCAAGAATTCTCAGCTGATACGATGCGTTGTATCGACGACGCGACGTCGACGTCGAAGAAAGTGTGTCACGTTCGTCGGTTCGTCGAGCTGCGTCTTCACACGACGACCACGCTCGTATCGGCGCAACAAGGCGTTTGTTTATGTTATTCGGGTGTTTTTCTTCTTCTCCACCTCGCAAATAAATTGTTGTTGCTTTTGATCCACTCCAAGTGTAAACGAACTCGCGCTCGATCACGTGGATTTGTGACATAGCTCGACGCGGCTCAACGACACGGTTACGTGGCCAAGATCATTCCTACGTCATCGACAGAATGAAAGACCT